AATTAATTTGTTCCTGTGTTCTCTGTACCTGATTCATTCTTTATCTCTTGCCGTGCACGTACACTTAGCTAGTCACATTGTTAGACAGCATGTGACACTACTTGACTTTCATTTCCTTCAGCAAATTCAGCGAGTAGTTAAGAATCTCTGCATCTTCACTGTCTTCACACGTTTTCGTGACGATTATCGCGGGTACAGAGACTCACATATATTCGGTGTCAAGTAATTACAAGTCACTCGGTAGGGTAGATCCCAGAAATCATTCGTATTTGAAAGCTGCGCATGTAAAACTCATTTTAAAATTCTACTTTAAAATTAGAAGCCTAACTGACCCGTAAACTGGCACTTCTGAGTGAGATCTGCGCGAGTTAGTGCTTGGAAAAGGGTCAACCTGAAGACAGCGTCAAATTAGCTCGCACTCTGATTATACTTTAGCTTGTGAGATAATCAAAGGGTCTTTGAGCAATATCCATCTTTGCCATTCAAAAATTCGCAGGTATTAACATGTCAGAAGAACCTAATTTGTTAAAATCGGAAAATGATAACGCATAAAATTTTAATATTTTCTTGTTTATTGACGCCTGGTTGAGGATCGTCCTCCTGAACTACTGCTTAGCTTTAAATAAATTAGTAGAAATAATAATAACTGGATTTTACAAAATCTCCCATAGACCACTGGGCACGGATATTTTACAGCCCTTGTGGCGCCACTCGCTAGCTTAAGGACGCGTAGTTGAATTTACATATATCCATCTTCTTGGTTTGGTATGTACATTAAAAATATCCTTTTTGCTAAGAATGGTTGCGGTGAAGGTACTAATCAGCAAATGGACCTTGAGGTCGATTTTGTAGCCCATTCTGTGTTTCCTTCCACGCTTGCATATCGGTCGCCGTTCTTAACTCGTTTTTATTCTCCTTTTCCTGTCCATCATCATCTTTATTATGCAGATTCTTATCAGGTGTAGTTAAAAATTTTAATCCACCAGGGGTTTGATTACCCATGGTTTGTGGTAATCTATCCTTCCCAGTACACCCATTGACATTGTTTGCCGACATTTGACCTTGAAAAGAAGTGTTAGTGACCCTAGTCTCACGTGGGCTGTTACCTAAGACTTAAAGTTTCTTTAGAAACAGGAACGAAAAATGTGTGAATTCTAAGAAAAGGGTCCTCCTTGCACATTTACACATTTCTCCAGTTAAATAAGTGAAAGTGAAATATGGTTGAGCACTGAATGTTGAAACTTTCGTACAACATTGACTTTTGCGCAAAGGTGTACTCAAAAAGTAACACACTCAACAATTGAAGTAATAATTTCTGTTTCGTCCTTACATCCATCGCCTTTACATCTCTAATGAATTTTTCCCACTGTCCAGCTAACCGTCTAAACTAGTACTAGACTTTTTCGGGATGTAAAATACCCCATCCCTGAATTTTCCTAATAATTCAAAATACTGCTACTTAAAGAAGATTTTAATTTATTTACTTTTTTTCATGCTTCACCACTGGCCCAAATGCTGAACGTGAGGTGAAGGCATTGTCACCCTTGATAACAATTCTGCAATGAGTCCTGGCGTCAGTTCACTTTGTCATTTTTATGAATTTAACGATTTTGCTGTCTCTACCTCAATTTTGATCGTCTACTACCTAATTCGAAACTTGGATCGGGAAGATTGCTTAGAGGAAGGGATTAAGTATCGTCGGAGAGGAGGTTACGCATGTGACATGAGTTCCATACGGATTCAAAGCTTGCGGACTGAGGGTACCTTTTTATTTTTTTGAGGTTGGTTTTATCTGCCTGTTATCACTAAAATGCGAAACCAGACAAGCATAAATTGCCAAGTTTATGCGATTATTTATGCGCCATCTCTAATACCTTCTCTGGGCTTACTTCCTCAAACACCACCTTTGGTGGACGTTTGCCTTTAGTTGACATTTTGCCCTCCTTCCCACATTCAACCGATAGCGATGAGCCATGACTGGTCGTACGCGAATCTGTATACTTTAGATCAAGCAATTTGTTATTGAAAAGAGCTGCAACGCCCAAAATGCGTCTTACTATGAGGTAAGTAAAATTTGTGACATAATCTGGGATTAGAACGAGTCTATAGAACTGCACTAAGTCTGTTCTTGGTAGACATTGAGTTGGCGGCCCTTGATGGAACACCTTTTGTTAAGTGTGCGATAGACATAGGTGCTAGCCTACGTGGTTGATAACTTGTTTGATATTTGGTGTCAGGAAGCATTTGAAACGGTGAGAGGTCAGTGAATGTATGGTTTATATCCCGATTCACAAAAAACACACAAGTATGAGACAAAGTCCAATTCTACGGCTAGACAGTTTTGTCAAAAGCCTACAGCAGCTTGGTTAGAGCGCGATTCGTTCCTTCGACCTGACAATTATCTTGTGGATGACCAGTGTCATGCTTTCTTTAAGAGTCCAAAAGTTTTACACAGTCTAACCAAATAAGACTGCCATGGTTGGTGCCTCAATTGCTATGCTCAGTTTTATGAACCCCCTTTTGACGAACAGACCAGGTGAAGAAATCAGAAGCGACTGTTTCACCAACCTGGGTCTTCAAGACTTCTGCCTCTGATACCTTTTAAAGACTGTACCTCTTCACCTGCTGTAGCTGGTAAATGACCCAAAATTTCAATGCCTACTATCTACCCAAGGAGCCCTGGACATGGATTGAAACGGTGAAATCGCTGTGGGGTTGGGTTATTTCAAAAATCTGTTATAAACAATTTAAGTCTAGCAGATTGTGCCCATATTTTGTAGAACAAAGGCCTACCAGTATCTTTAGCTCGAGGTGTTAAACATCATTTCTTCGCCCACATGACTTGACTACTCGTGTAAATCTGGAAGAATTGCCTGCACCAATGAAACTAAAACCACTAAGGGCTTAGATGATGAGACTTTATTTGGGCATACCAAGACCTCATTTTCGATGGACAGTTGTGACCACTCCTGCCTTATACGTCTCACTACCTTATCTGGTAACGCCTCCATTGCTGCAAACTTGTAAGAGGATGTAGGGAGCAGGATCAGGAAATTGAGTATGAAGCTAGATCTAAGCTATAATTTCTGCAAAAATTTATCATGAAAATCATTTATAGAAGGCTTTACCATTCCCTTTTTTTTATTAATTTGATCAACCACAAACTCCTTCTTATCTCGCGGCATATTTAAATGTCTTTTCAGTAACATAACCAAGTTATTTTCAGAAAGGGCCTCGTTGAGTATCTTAAGGTGAAATATACAATGTCTGAACTTTTTATAAGATGTTCTTATTATGGAAGAACTATCATAAAATTATTCTTCACTATAAGCTGTGTAGTCTCTGCACCATTTAGTTGCCTTAATAAACGATCTTAAACTGCATTGCCACATGCTGTCTAAGCAATCAGAAAGGCAATCCCACGTTTTCAAGCAACACGTGGTGTTGCGTCGATTCCAAGTGTGCAGTCGATACGTCAAGTGTGACATAAAGGGGTTTTTTTTATGAAAAAGGCTACTTCATTTACCACACAAAATTGACTAAAGTGCGTGTGTGAAAACGCATTTATACCAATCGTCTTCCATGCTAGAGCAAAGCAAATAAGTATAATAGGGCATTCGACTTGCCAAGTTGGTTATTTCACGGGATCGGAGAATCCACCGCTTACCTCAAGTACGCTCGCTATACTTTATTTTGGTGATTGTGACAATCTTCATACTTAGTATTGTAGGAAGTATTTGATGATAGAACATTGCTTCAATATCCATTGGGCTAAAAGCAATCAAATGCGTAGAAGATAATTTTAGAATTGGCCATTTATATTCAGGTTCTTAGTTAACATTTTAGGTGAAGGCCACACTTTGGTTTTACCATGCTCTCTATTGCAAACCACTACTCTGGATAATTGGGGTGGGGTTGGATGATTTTACTTGAATGCTAGCCTATTCAAGTGATCTGGGAGTAAGGTGCAAATGTTTTACGCCTTAACACTTTCCTAATTTACACCTTTTTATTGAGCTAAAAAACTCTCTTTTTGAATGGTGAGCTATTTGGTTAGAGTTCCCATGACTGCAAATCAACAAGGTTGTGGCAAAACTCACACGATCTGGCAAACTCACACGTTTATTTGATCGTTTGACATGATTAGAAACTTTTTTGAAGTTTTTTGAGAGTACCTGTTCCACAAAGCCATCTTCTAAACAAGTTTCATCCTCAGTTAAAATGAAAATTGAAAGCCATGCTCATAATTTCGAAAGTCTTTCGTAAAATCTTTTTTAAAATATTTGTAAAGGCCATCTACTTAAAATCAGGCCATTTTGCTTCACCGACTTACTGTGATTGACAGTAAAGCTGGAGTTTACCCATTTATAATGAAAGCCCAAGACAGCGATCTTTAAAACAAGATATTTTGGCTACCTCCAGCGGAGTTTTATGATTAAATAGTTGACGATAGCCAAATTGGAGTCGGTTTGTACATCTTAAGTTCTTATGGAAACAAGACTGACAGAAGAGGAGTGTGGGGATGGGATAGCTGATACGTTGAGAAGAAATAGTTGGTGGAATATGTAAATTGAGTAGTCACTGAATGTAAGAATTACTGATACCATTTGCCTCCGGTTCTAGGAGTCTTAGTAACTTCATGTAATACTACCTTGTTCCGCTTAGTAGAGCCTGTTCCAACCCTCATCTACCAATAACTTAATTCCGAGGAATATTTGATGGTTGGATTAATATATCCCGGCATTAAGTCAAAATATTGGCCATACTATTCTTTAGGTTAAAATATTTTGTTACCCACTAAGTAGGCTCATTAAAACAGGTAGTTAAAGTTGGTTTTTCACGTATAAGGCGTAATGCGGTTCCACCGAGTTTCCTCAACAGTACACCCTCATTCTGCGAGCAGCCGATTCTTCACAAGGGTTTCCTATGAATTTCTTACTTCACGATAGGAAGTTAGGTTGCTATACTGTATTTGTACAGTATATGGGTAGCGTTGTGTAATCTGTTATTACATTTCCAACTTCTACATCGTGATTATAGGAATAACTTTTCCTAATGAATTTCCTTTTTTCTCCACAGGATGATGGAACTCTCCGTGCTGAGCTCTGTCACCGTCATCCTGAATTATGTATTGCAATGCATCAACGGCGGTCTACTAAATGTCTTCTTTACTCCTACATATAACCAAACCTCAAAGCAAACGACGTATGAATTTGGCATGAATCAAGATCGTTTGATGAAATACGTGAAAGGAGTACTCACGATCTCCGGAAAGGATTTACCCCTTGACGTATTAAAAACCTTTCCTGAAAGCATTGGAGGTGGCGATAAGGGCGTCAAGGAGGCTCAAGAAAACCCTAATCGAGAGGTTATTTTCATCATTGGACCAGTGGCAGCCGCGATTATTATGTTGATTGCTATTCTCGGACTCATTTTAATAAACTTTTGCACATGCACCACAAAAGGTTGTCACAATCACAAGAAGAAGAAACCGAAGAGCATAAACAGCGGGGGGAAGTCACGGACAAAGCCTGCCGAAGTAGCTAAGGTGGAGGAACGCGAAGGAACGCGCCAAGGTCCTTCATATAATAGACAATTTGACAATGGTTACGACGGGTATGCCTTTTACAGAAACAAGGGTGACAACGATTCCGAAAGTGATACAACGACCGACGAGGAGGACGAACCAAAGGTTAGTCAGAACGACTGCTGCGATAATTTTTCCACACTATCATAAGCGAAGAGTCAGTAATTTATTTTGTTCCCCAAATATTGTCCTACTACCATAAGTTGGATATATACAAATATTACTGTCTTAAAGTATCACCATTTAACAAAATGCACATTGAATTGTTTCATAAATGCTAATTGGAAAAAATTCCCACGGTTTCACGTAAGATTGAATTACGTTGAAGAATCCTTCATTGCCAGAAAGATCAGAGTGTGGTTTACAGAAGTCACGCAAAAGTTTGGATAAACTCATTTGGTGTCCATTCGAGAGGGACAAACTGCACCCATGTGCATCCTCTTTTGATTTTTTGAAAGCATCCAAATCTATTAAGTCCAAATTTTTATAATTTTCTCTGTAGATGATCCTGAATTAAGCATTAAGTTATCGTAATTTTCGTATTCAACACTGCATTTGGTAATGAAGGGTTGCCAAGCCCTAAAAGCGGAAAAAAGTTTCTTTGACAAATGCTAGGCGGCGAACGAGTGGCTTAGAGGCAGTCCTGCAGATATGACATAGCTGGCAGGTTATTTTTAACAG